TCTCTCTCTCTCTCTCTCTCTCTCTCTCTCTCTCTCTCTCTCTCTCTCTCTCTCTCTCTCTCTCTCTCCCTCTCTCTCTCTCTCTCTCTCTCTCTCTCTCTCTCTCTCTCTCTCTCTTTCACATACACGCACTCAAGCCATCACCTGCTGGCCAACCTTCCCTCTAGTGCCACTGCAACAGAAGTCAACAGACGTCTCCAGAAGCCACAGCAAGAGACGTCAATGCTATAATCACAGCAACAAACGTCTCTGCTCAAGAAGTCATAACACGAGCAGTCACAGCAAGGGACTAACCCAAGGCGTCCCTCCATGATGTCCCCCAGAGTATACCCCTGCCCCAAGGCATGCCCCCAAGGTGCCCCCAAGCATACCCCTTCGACGTGCCCCCAAGGCATACCCCTTCGACGTGCCCCCAAGGCATACCCCTTCGACGTGCCCCCAAGGCATACCCCCTAGACGTGTCCCCAAGGCATACCCCCTAGACGTGCCCCCAGGACTATTCCCGAAAGGTGCCCCCAGGACGTTCCCCGAGACGTGCCCCCAGGACTATTCCCGAGAAGTGTCCCTAGGACGTTCCCCAAGACGTGCCCCCAGGACTATTCCCGAAAAGTGTCCCTAGGTTCCCGAACGTGCCCCCAGGACTATTCCCGAGAAGTGTCCCTGCCCAGGGGTTCCCCAAGACGTGCCCCCAGGACTATTCCCGAGAAGTGTCCCGACGTTCCCCAAGACGAGCCCCCAGACTATTCCCGAAAGTGTCCCTAGGACGTTCCCCAAGACGTGCCCCCAGGACTATTCCCGAGAAGTGTCCCTAGGACGTTTCCCGAGACGTGCCCCCAGGACTATTCCCGAGAAGTGTCCACGTTCCCCCACGAAGGTGCCCCCAGGACGTCCCCGAGAGGTAGAAGAGGTGCCCCCAGGACGTTCCCCAAGAGGCCCCCAGGAGTTCCCCGCCCCCAGGACGTTCCCCGAGACGAGGACGTTCCCTCCCCCAGACGGTGCCCCCAGGTTCCCGACCCAGACGACCCGAAAGGTGCCCCCAGCGTTCCCCGAGACGTGCCCCCAGACGTTCCCCGAGATGCCCAGGACGTTCCCGAGGTGCCCCCAGGACGTTCCCCGAGAGGTGCCCCCAGGACCCCAGAGGGCCCCAGACGTTCCCGAAAGGTGCCCCCAGGACGTTCCCCGAGAGGTGCCCCCAGGACGTTCCCCGAAAGGTGCCCCCAGGACGTTCCCCGAGAGGTGCCCCCAGGACGTTCCCCGAGAAGTGCCCCCAGGACTATTCCCGAGACGTGCCCCCAGGACGTTCCCCGAGACGTGCCCCCAGGACCCCAGTTCCCCGAGACGTGCCCCCAGGACGTTCCCCGGACGTGCCCCCAGGACGTTCCCGAGAAGTGCCTCCAGGACTATTCCCGAGACGTGCCCCAGGACGTTCCCGAGACGTGCCCCCAACGGACCCCCAGACGTTCCCCGAGACGTGCCCCCAGGACGTTCCCCGCCCCCCCAGGACTTCCCCGAGACGTGCCCCAGGAGACGTCCCAGGACGTTCCCCCAGGACATTACCCGAGACGTGCCCAGGACGTGCCCCCAGGACTATTCCCAGACGTGCCCCAGGACGTTCCCCCAGAGAGACGTGCCCCCAGGACGTTCCCCGAGACGGTTCCCGAAAGGTGCCCCCAGGACGTTCCCCGAGAGGTGTCCCCAAGGCATTTCCGAGACGTGCCCCTAGGACTATTCCCAAGGCGCCGCGAGGGGCCGACGCACCTGATAACAAGCAGAGCGTTGCGTAGCGGAAGTCCTCCCGGCGCAGCACCGCGCTTCGCACTAAGGCCGCTAATCACCTCGCGAGTCTCCCAGTAGCCAGAGGTTGTGGCGATAACACTTGTCACCACTTCTCGAACCCTTTTTACTCTTATCTCGCCAGCTTTCTCCTGCAGCCGAGGAGAAGGTGGCGATGGCCGGCAGCCACGGCTTATCTCCTCTGGTTCGGATTGGTGTTTGGCGTGTCTGTGGAGGCTTCGAGCTCTTATCGCCCTATCTACGAGTCGCCAGGATTCGGCGCGAGGGCGGCGATAGGCAGCCCCTAACCCCTTTTCCCGACGTCTAGAACCATTCGCATTTTTTGGAAGATCTTTTAAGATTCTGTCACGCATGCTTGTTTTAACTCAAGGTCGGAAGCGGTGTCTCATGCGCCTTTTGGAAAGAGGTGAAGATCGCCTGCTGCTTAAGTATTAACGGGTGTACCATAATCTCTCTCTCTCCTCTCTCTCACTCCTCTCTCTCTCTCTCTCTCTCTCTCTCCTCTCTCTCTCTCTCTCTCTCTCTCTCTCTCTCTCTCTCTCTCTCTCTCTCTCTCACTCACTCACTCTCTCTCTCTTCTCTCTCTCTCTCTCTCTATCTATCTGTCAATCTATCTATCTGTTTATCTATCCATCCATCTATCTCTATCTGTGTATGGATGCGTGAACGTGAGGGAGCGGTTGTTAGTTGTTTGTATCTGCAAACG